ATCTACAGTTATACCATATAAAGAGGGGACATCTGAGACCCTACGTAGGATTCTAAATAAAGCAGGAATTAGGGTGGCATTTAAACATACAAACTCACTCAGGGACAAGCTCTGTAGGTTAAAGGACCCAGTTGACCCAATTAGACAAAATAATATAATTTACAAAATACCCTGCAATGACTGTCAGTGAGGTCAACTACATAGGTCAAACTAGTAGGTCAGGGGTAGTCAGATTATCAGAACATAAGAATTTAGCTAAGGTAAGAATGGTTGACCAAGAGAAGATAAATAATTTAGAAAAAAGCTCGGCAATTGCAATGCATGCATTAACACACAACCACACAATAGGGTGGGAGAGGGTTAAAATTCTAAAAAGTAATCTAGGTAGGTGGAGAGCGAGAGAGGTTGATTACTGAATCTTTGTTCATCGAATCTACACCCAACACATGCAATAGGAATGAATCATCACTCATATCCGAAATATGGAAAATAATACTACCAATCAAATCAAGTGAAAAACAACGGAATTATATAAATGAATTTAGGAAGTCGTGTGATTACCTTGATATGATTATGAGCAATAAATTGTGCTCGAAACGTCATCAGTAAATATTACTGTATAACACTGTGAGACTCTATCAAAATAAACTTTACCCATAATGGAATTACACTCTACCACAGTGCCCAAGTTTTATTCTTATATCAATAATACATAACACATTGAGATATAAATCAATTTGTGAAGCTTACCAAAGTGTATTCATAATGAATTTTTATTCGAAATGTAATTCTAAATCTCTTGGCCATTTACTTAACGTCATACGTATAAGTAGATTTGGGGAGAAATATTTTATGAAAAGGCGGAGTCAGCAAAAAATTTCCTCATTAGTGTGAAAAGATCCTCTATATGGAATATGATCCAGAGGCAAGAATATAACTAACTCAGGCACTTTTATGCCACTATTATTATTCCCTTGAGTTCTGAGTGAAACATACGGCTTCAACAACACATCTCCACTTTGTTCTACTTTCTGCTGTCCTCTTCAGCTGGGTCCACGGCTGCCTACAATCTTTCATCTCCTCTTCACATGATCTCCTCCATGTCAACCTAGGACGACCCATTCGTCGCTTCCCATTGGGATTCCACTCGAAAAATGGCCTGCATTGAGCGCGATGACATTAAACGGCCTCCTCAACGTATGCCCGATCCATCTCCATTTTCTCCTACATATTTGTTGACTGGTCGGCTCTTGGTTGATTTATTGCCAGAGTTTATTGTTACTAACTATTTCTCGCCGGCAATTTGATCACCAGTATGGAGAGATCGAAGGCAGCTGTTGATAAAAGTCGGTAGTAGACTGTTGGAAATCCTTTTCGTGACTAACACGCAGAGCAAGTTTCTGACCCGTATAGAAGAAGTGACCGACTTCAAATTGGTGTTGAAAATCCAAATCTTGTTCCTTATGCTTAGTGCAGTGCAGCAGATTTCCAAACTGCATTCAGGTTGATGAAGGCGTATCTTGCTTTTCCGATTCTGACTGGCTTTGACATCTTCACCCGTGGTGACTCCCTGTAATTGAAACGATGCTTCCTAGATAAGTGAAGGAATGCTTATAGTGAAGGAAGTAACTTCTGTTAAGTCCCTGCTGTTGATGGTGATTGATGAAGGTTGTTGTTGCTGTTGGTTATCTTCATCACCTCCGTCTTCTCTATGTTCACCTGGACTCCTGTTTTCACTGCCTGCCTCTTTGGCCAGTTTGTTGCTTTTCGCCTGTAAGTCTTCGAGTTTATGTGACATCAGATTTTATACCAATACTAAATAACACATATGCATAAGGAAATGATGAACAAAAACATAAGCTGAGGACACTATCAAGTCTAACTGATTGACTTATTTTCAACGTAGAAACTTCACAGAAGTTCATCAATTTAATTTGCCACAATCAATACAGCACATAAAGTTGAAGGTACGAGAAAACACCATTTGAAAAGAAGTAACGTGAGAAGTGTACAGGAGAGAGAATAATTACATGGAAAAACAAGAAAGGTTAGAAGATAGGGGAGATTATAAGAAGTGAATGTATCTGCGCCACTGAGAACGATTTCAAACCATTTCTCCAATAGTCTCCGGCCATATGATTCTTGGAATGTTGAGGACCATTGTGTGATTCAAACTAACTGTCACAAAATTCATGGACTAATGACAGGTTTTGGTTTGACTACCACTAACTGTTTTCCAACTTAATTCTGTATCAGCTAACATTGCTCGATGAGGAAGGCGATGCCTCAGCATTCGTAACATCTCTCCCAACCCCATCTCAACAGATGTAGCTGAGCAACCCCATCAATTGACTTCCTTTCTTTATCAAGCACTCGCCGCCTAATCTCAAGTGGTTGCTATCACTTCAGATGACAGGGTATTATACCATTCTTAGGAACCACTGAAGTCACGTCATCAGGTCCCACTTATTCAGCGTCTTTAAGGGTAGAGACAGCTTTTGCAACCTCTGTTACAGTCAGAGAACCAATGTTTACATTCCATTCAAGTAGGTGTTGGATGCTAGGTAAGTTGAATTAGCCCCCTTAGGCTGTTCTTTCCAACAAGTAGAAGAGAGATAGACATGATAAACATACAGCATGGTATTACTACGTAACAGTTCCGCCTGCCACATGTATCTTCGCAGTTTATTGAAGGTTGTGGAAAATGAGATGATTTAGGAGAAGTAACAGTGTGAAGCTAGTTTAAGCCAAGTCGAGAGGTGTAGGCCTCCTCATTGGTTGGGGTCCCCGGGATGGTAAAAACCAGTGACTGGAGACAGTCGGTGATATGGCTCAAAATCCTGGTTCTCAGTGACGGTGCAGATTCCTTCACTCTTTGTCATTTATCACATCCAATAAAATTCTATTGTTCTTCCATATTATTACTATTATTTTTCCATCACTCACACTTCTGTTTATATTCTCACTTTTGAATCTCTCCTTACTCTCTTCTTTTGCTGTGTGCTACACGGAAAGGGAGTGGAAACTCGAGTTGCTGCACGTCTGTACAAACTTCTACGTTGGAACTAGTCAGTCAGTCAGAGTACTGTGAGGTAAAGGGAGAAAATATAACAAAAATGGATGGCAAACTTGCAGTTAGAAGGAAGATATTTAGTGTATAACTCTGCAACGATGAAGTCAGTTTCAAGCCACCTCTTTAACTATACATCATTGGGTATCAGGAAGACACCAACCAAGTTAGCTAAAATTCCCTACGGATACCAACTAAAAACTCACTGACTTCATGGATTAGTTAATGTCTAGTCCCCATGTGGCTAATTTGAGTTTTCTTGAAAACCAACCCTACTTCAGTTAGCATAGGACAATACATCTGTGTAACATATCCCAGTTGACTCAAACGATCCTGTCTTATGGGCCTCTTGACTGTCTTGTTCGTCTTACCTAAGATTTCATGTCTAAATTGCATCACAAAGGCAGATGTCTTATTAAACACACATTATGCCTGAGGTCGCCGTCGATTCCATACCTTTACTGGTCAATGTTTCACTGTCAAACAGTAGGACACAGCATACTGCTGAGCCACACATCTGACGGCCATTAGCTAATTTTCTGTTATGAGCAGTGTCATACAACAAGAGCAAAACAATTTGTTTGTATATATTCATCAATTACCAAACCACGAAGATTGAAGCAACTCCTCATTTAATTGAAATGATTTACACATTCAACCACTTCACTCAGTATAGTTCAAGAATTTACGTCTGAGGGGAATAGAAATACGTCAAACATTATTAAAATGTCATTCAAGATGTATATAAGATTTTACGTCTTGTCAGTATCTTCACCCAACAATGTTAGGTCATTCGAGTAACCTAATTCAACAAATAGATCACTCGTGTGGTACTGATTCCTTGTGAAGCTTTGCGCAAACCTGAAGAACCCAACAAGAAGTGTATGCACAGCTAGAAAACTTTCCTGTCTATACACAATTTAACATTATCTAAGCATGAGTTACAAAAGTTTACGACTACTTTTATCAATTTTATATCGTCAGTATATTACTAATAAAAATGATACCAAAAGTATATGTAGGTAAAAGCTTGGAAAAGTCATAAGAAAACTGAAGGTATATAAGTTTTACAGTTACAGCAGAACACCTGACTTCCAACCAGTAAGTTGTACGCAGTTTCAAATCCCACTTTATCTACACCAGCCTATGAGAATGAGTAGTTTCAACAGTCCTTACAAAACGAGAGTGTGTGTGTGAGCAGACTGATATATGAAAGTCTGTACTGGGTAAATACGTTCTAAGCAACTATAACTTCTGATTACTAAACAGAACAAAGTGGCAGATCATTTAACAGCTAAAAGGAAAACTGAGCTCTACTTGCTAGTAATATCAAATTCTAGTAAAATAGAGGAAAAGATTGAAATAAGGTGAACCAGTACAAGTCAATGGTAGGTGGGGATAGCCGTACACGAAATACATCCAGGATTGATGGTTTAATATCCCTTAACAAAAAAGAAGTAACCATACACCTCATTTGCGATAGATCGAACTTGCTATACCATCTAGCAGTATAATGATTGGCATAATTATTGATTTTAGATAAAGCAATAAGAAGACGTAATTTGTCTGAATCGTGTAATGTATTTGTGTAACACATTTCGAACAATCTGATCACATACGGACTTGTCATAGGAATATATATGAAATTAATAAAGAGTCAAGAGGTGAGAAATAGACTTAGGTCAAGTTAAAAGGACCCACTAGTTATTGGGGAATTAATTTCCCATTTGAATTTTTGAGATCTAAACTTCACACCACTCCTCTATTGAATTATCCCATACACCTTACATGTATTGAGATTACAGGAATTTAGACCAGTTTTCATCCATATTCGTAACGCATTCATAAATAGTAAGATTTTATATTTTCACACACGTAATCATCAACAGGCAACAAGAATCACGGCTAAGAACAACAACACACTTCTTACCTTATTACTGAATTGAATACAAGCCCAATTTTGTGAAGCTTGATAGCGTTCAACGGGTGTCAGGCGAAGTCTCCAGATTCGGTTGACCTTCGATAGAAAACGGCCTTGACTTTGAATTTGCCTGTAGACTCAGATCCTTGATTGAAGGAAGAAAGCTGCAGTTCTCTCCTAGTCCTTTCCTGTTCATACTTACTATCCTCTTGGACAAGTCAGCAGAGGGTGCACACAATTCTAATAGTCTTCAAGGGTTGATTGCCCATTGTGAAGGGAGGAACTAATAAGTCTGCCGTTAAAATCGAAATGTCCACAGTTACTTCTTAGGATTTTGAAGATGTTTTTGTTCTCATATACGCCTATTGTATGATATGAAGCAGAGATTAGCTTATTCAGCATGCCTTGCATGATATATATGTCTAAGAATTATATTTGAAACGCCTTTCAGAATTTTTCACTGTTACCTCTTAGGCTATGGATGGCAGTCTGAATGCTCTTCTCTAGTTTTGGACCCACGAAAAATGTTTGCAGAGCAGTCAAAGTGTCATTGACGATCCTAACAGAAATTTAATTTTTGCCTAAAAGGTTCTGAAGCCACAATTCACAAGTGATTGGCGGTCTGCCGGAGTTCTTAGGTCTTGACCTACTCGAACAACTGGGCTAGTAAGGATTTAGTGGAAAAGCGTTACTACATGATATTCGTTGTCATTTCTGCACGCGATGAGGGTGATTTCATACTTGTCTGCGTCGGTGTCCATTTTTGGACAACTTACCAGAGTCTTGAGGTCTGACTACTGTAAAACGTCTCCGTGACTTTCTTAATCTCAAAACCAATGTTTGAACGTTGATATAGGCAATAATAAGGGATTTGGTGACATTAGATGAAGTGCACATGTATAAAAGTATAGCGCGTTGCTCTGTACTTTTTCCTGGGTACACAGTTTGGAAATAAGAAGTTCCAAGAAATTTTTTATAATTATAATGAATCAATCTGACTTGGCGCTCAAATTATTTCAGGAAGTTCGTAACACCTACGGCCTGGAAACCTATAATCTGATCATTATTATCTTTTTGAAGGTAAAGATTCAAGCCCTCATAAAAATCTCGAGCCGTCAAATTGCATATTGCTGTTCCTGCAGAGTGGGGCGACTCACCTTAGTGACCACCACCATATCTACTGATCAGCATGCGCCACCCTCCCTCTTTTTATGATGTTAGGCTCTGATTGTTATGGCTACAGCAAATATATTGCTTGGTTCCAGACATGTTCGTACCTCACATTCCATTTCCCTAGCTTTCTTAGTGAGTGCTTCCAATAGATCTCCACGTATAGATTTATGAACATATTATATATGTGTGCATGCATCCTAATGAATAGATTAGTTTATAAGATGTTAAAACCTTAAAGAGTAAAAAGAATAGGTTTTGTGAGTAGTGGAGCAAGATTCAGCAGAACACTATAATTAGAGTTCAATGTAGGTAGTATGAACTGAAGGTAAGGTCTGTTGGCAGGACTTATTGTACTAAATTATCATGACAGTCTTTTATATAGTAAACATTTGACATTGCAAAGTAACCTGTCTACACATATTATAAAAAGATATTGACACAGAACCAACAAAATTTTAACATTTGGTTAACAATACTGCAGTGTGTGTATACTGAAGAAGCGTAGTTAGTCTTACAGAGAGCATAAAGTAAATCAAACTATATATGGTAAGAGTGTAATCAATATTATAATTCGTATTATCAAAGAATACATTAAGCTCAATAATTGAGTGTTATAAGGGAAACAAGGGTGGTAAAGCAAGAGAACATTTGCTGCATAAATATTTTAATCATTTTAAGTATTGTAATGACAATCAAATTTAAAGAATTGATTAAGCATAATTACTAGGTGTAATTATATTAGTATTGGGACTAGTGTGCTTTCCGTAGTCAAATATTGAAATGTCATTGTTTCACCACTCTACCAGCAGTTGCGATATTTTAGACGGGCTAGGGTGGACATGTTAATATGTTTTTCTAGGCTCCTTTTGAAGCTGTCATTCTTTTCACAGGATTTAATCTCAGAGGGTAGCTGGTTCCAAAGTTTGCAATATTTAATGGTGAAAAAGTTAGCTCTAGTGGTGAGTTTATGGGTTTTAACCCTGAGAAGGTAGTTATGGTTGTGTAGTTCATACGATTTAAGATTAGCCTACGTTATGGATGAGTTACTGTTACAATACTTTCTTATAACTTTGAATAAGAGAAATAAGTTGCACTTCACTCTCCTTAACCATAAGGATTCTAAGTCCAGTCGAATACATCTATCAAGGTATTCTATTTGCTAATCATAGCTTAATATGCGTTTCGTCAGGAATCTTTGGACACTTTCAACTTTTTTTTCTGTCTGCTGATTGAAAGCTACTGCATAAGTGGGCACTTTCCCAGGACGTTCTTCTCTTCCTGAAATAGCGTTCAGTCACGTGGTTGCATGGTAATTACCCAAATATACGCTGTTCGCCGATTGACCATAACTATCAGCAGGAAATGGGACGAATTTCAGGTTGTGGCTCAACTCTGATGGTGACCTGGGTGAAGGGCTTACAATTTAACATGAATAAGAACCTGTTCTGATTGCTTGTACGATAATCGAACAATTTAAACGTTTGAAAAAGTGTTAGTTTATGATACTTCAGGATTGTACTTTATGATATATATGATCGCACCTGTAAAAATGGCATACATTTCCTTTAAACACCAGTTTATCATAAGTATATATGATTATTGTTGCCCGTCTACATGATGAAGTGGACTGTGAACCCAGTTTCTTAAGAGAAATTGTTTAAGTTGTTCCTTCTGAAGCGGAATCTTTCCCTACACCCTCTGATCCGCCATCTAAGAAGGCACATGTTTGAACATTTACACTGTTACATCTGTCTATAACTGGGGCTATAGCAAACGCTGCCTCACTTGACATAATCTTGCTCAAATTCATATCACAACATTGTTGGGAGCGGATGTGCACATCATTTTAGTGTCGTCGTATAAAACTTGCCTTGAGTGCAGCAATGTGTGCTGTCTCCAAACACAACCATCAACCGCAGAGGATCTCGGAGAGCGGCAATTCTTTGCCATATGATTAGCCTTTAAACATATCTTACATTGTTTTCCCGTGGAAACGAAATCCAAAAGTTCACTGAGGTCTTTAATTTTGAACTTCAGTCAGCAACCAAAAAATGTTCTCCTGAACACAGTATACAAGGTACAATGAATATATGTGTCTGCTTCTCAGGTTCATTATCCAGGTTTTCAGCATTATTACCTGAAATCCGGGCAGAGAACAATTAGTATATACCACTCGTCATAAAACGACAGTCCTAACGAATTAAACTGCTTTTTTACTCACGCACCTCCAAGAATTGTTGTTTCTTTCTTGCAAAAGATAAATCTTGACTATATAGAAATTGTACTACGAAGATTTGATCACTTGTAGAAAACACATGTATGACCAAATCTAAAAGTTCATGGAGTCAATGTGTTACCACTTGTAGGAAGAGATGTGAATATTCTAGAGAGAGTACAGAGGAGGGCCTTCAAACTCTCAACGCACTGGGATTCCGAACGTATGACCATCGATGAAGATACCTGAATTTGCGCACCCTCGGCCATCATAAAGTCAGGGGCGACCATATCACAGGACGAAAAAGAACACATAGCTAAATGATTCCCGAGACACGTTGCCAGAAGGTAACTGGCTCCTTGAAGTGGAAATAATTCAGAATCATCGGTCTAGAGCATTCTCGACTCGGCATCGTATGCTGACCTGTACTGTTAACGGCCACCTGTCAAGGTGAAGTCATGCCACTTGATATGCCATTGCGTTGCGCTCAGTCTGTACCAACAACTGCCATGCGTTTTTATCCTGAAACATATCTAGTACTTTGGGTGATCCGTTCGCTGTTTTGATATGTCTATGTTCTCAGTAGAACAAATACCTTGGAAGTTACAGGACAAACACTTGCGTTTTTGTATAGAATAACCTGTGTTTACATCCTTCATCACCTGAAGTAATAATAACTTTATTCTGAGTAGCGTTTTTATATAGTGTACAGAGTTTTCAGGGGGTTTACAATAAAATATTTTCTTATCCAGGATCTACAAATGAAATAATAACAGTAAATCACGTGACACAATGATGCCGGACCAAGAGAGCAAACCAATCCACTTCAATACCTATCCGTTGTCTCCTTAAAATCATATGGTCGAACGCCAGTAGTAAAAGTTTTAGGAGTACATTTTGGGATCCATGAACACAACGCAAAAGCAGCTAACCCATTTATTGTGACACGTTGCCACCCAGCATCATGCTTTTTGTCAAGTTTAATAGTAACTTGTGAATCAGCGAGTCGGAAACATTTGAATAACTGGCGGCCTGCTTAAACCTTGGGCTACCAAAATTTCCATCCTATATATTGCATCTATTTCCTCGTATTTATTTTATTTTAATCATTCAATTATGTGTACTAATCGCATTGTTTACTCTCGCGGTTATTTAAAAAGTTTCCAACCGGCTAATTTACTCGTTTCTAACAAACTTAAGAAAAAGCCTCATGGTGGATGGCAACGAGCTTTAAAGCGTACTCCGATGCATTTGATGACTGTTCCTGTGATTATGAGCACAAATTGCAGATCTCTACCAAACAAGATTAATTATTTGCATTCTCTATTATACTCAAATGTATATTGTAACACTGCTGTAATTACTCTTCAAGAAACTTGGCTGCACGATTCATATGACGATAATTTGGTCTCTTTACCTGATTTTACAATGTACAGACAAGACCGATGTAGCTCAAAGAAGAAGAGAGGTGGAGGTGTGGCCACTTTTATTAATTCTCAGTGGTCTACTGCCAACAACGTCTGCTTCAAATTCTCGAATGACAATATTGATTGTATAACTATTAAATGCCGACCTAAACACTTATCTAAGTATAACTGCATTTTTGTCACAAATATCTATGTCACACCTTCTTGCAGTCCCTCAGAACTATCGATCTTTGCCGACGAATTCATTATTTTTGCTGCTTCTTCGTTTGGTAACTCCTTGTCTGTAGTAACTGGTGACTTCAACGCCAGTGACTACAGTTTTA